AAAAATTATAAGTATAAGGAACAAGATTATATTAATTTATTAGTGAAGGATGATGAGAATAATGACTCCATTGATGAAGTTAATACGATAGTATCAAAAACTTAATCTCCCGGAAAAGAAGATTATTAGTGGCCTTCCTAATAAGATTTGAATTTAAATTATGTATTTCTAAATTTCGTTCGTTTATTTAGTCATTATTACTTTTACAAATTAATGTTTTTGGCTTTACAATATGAATAATCGATCTTATTTATTTTTTGCAATTTTAAAGTTTAACTCAATTTTACAATAAAACAATAAAATGGGATAAATATATTTAACTCCAAACAAAACGGATCAATAAAAAATAGAGCCAATTAAAATTACGAGATGAATTGCAAAAAGAGCTAAGTATTCGGATTATTTTGTATAGTATTAATTTGTTTTTGCCATATAGGTAGATTAACAAATTAGATTAACAATAATTTTTCAGAAAAATCTTAATTGGATAGTGATTTTTCAAAAAAATCTTAGGTATCTTCACCAAAATCATCCTTTCAATTTTAATGTGACACGACATCCCTTAAAATATGACATGACATCCTCTCTAATTTAGCCTATTAATCCCTAATTAAACTTAGTCCAAATTCAATAATTAAAATTAGCCCAAGTTCAAAAGGAGGATGAGATGATAACTCCATTGATAAAGTTAAGAAGTGATTATCAAAAAAATCTTAATTGGAGAGTGATTTTTCAAAAAAATCTTAGGTATCTTCACCAAAATCACCCTCCCAATTTTAATGTGACACGACATCCCTTAAAATATGACATGACATTCTTTCTAATTTAGCATATTAATCCCTAATTAAACTTAGCCCAAATTCAATAATTAAAATTAGTCCAAGTTCAAAAGGAGGATAAGATGATGACTCTATTGATAAAGTTAAGAAGTGATTATCAAAAAATAATCTCACGGAATAGAAGATTATTTTTACATGTTTTCTTTCGATTATTTGATTAGGGATTTTAGTTATTGTTACTTTTAAAAATAATTTCTTTTTGGATTTTAATAGATCTTACTTTATTTCCAAAAAAGTCTGTTTAACCAAAAAAATCAATTAAATAAATCAATTACATGTCGTTTCGGTCCAAATATAAATTTATGTATCATCATCAACTCCAAAGTAAAAATACGATAATCTTTTGTAAAATCTACACAAGATTAATATGACGTTTACAAGATTATGAAAATCGTTATCTCCACAAATTTGCCTATCCAAAATTTAAGAATATCTCAAAAATAAAATATATGAGAAACTATAAATTTAAAAGTGTTGAATTTGGCTGCTCTMAAATTTATGTATCATCAATTCTGATTTTCAAATATGAAAATTTTTGATAAATGGAAATATTGAAAGCTTTTAATAAAAAAAAAAGCTTTTCAGTATTTAATTAATAATGGACTTATTATGATCCAGAATTTATGTATAATTAACTCCAAATTTAAAAATATGAAAATCTTTAGTAAAATCTACAGAAGAACAAATTTTTAAAAGAGATTTTGATATGTTTGTAAAATAAATTTTCAAGTTTATAAAAAAAAAATATAGTTCTTTTGAATTTTTTTTATGCTAGACAATTTGAAAGTAATATTAACTTTTTTTCACGGGAGAAAGCAACATTTTTTTGTATCTATGTTTTATTTATAAAATTTATGATTATATATTTTAATATCTTAAAATATTCAATAATTTATTTGTATTTTAAATACTATTTAAGATATTCGGACAAGCCAAATTTAATATTTTTTTAACTATAATGTATTACATTTTGATTTGACACATTTACATATATATAATAATTAGATGGTAAAACTAAATTTCTAAAACTCATATTATTAATAAAAAGATATTATTTACTAAAAAAATTAACAACAATATAATCAACAACAATTTCTATAATAAAATCAAACAACTACATATTTCACTTTTTTAAAGATTAAAATTAAAAAAACTATATAAATTATTTACCGCGTGTACACGGGAGAATCACCTAATTCATATTAAATTTCATTTTATTAAGAAACAAACTAAAAACCTTTGGTTTCAAAAAGTTCGATTCGGAGAACCTTGCTAAATCCGTTTCCTTATTGTCATAATTACAAAATAAATATTTTAAGATCGTAATTTGAATCTTTACGTTCAAGATAAAACAATTTTTTTTTTGTCGCCTACAAACCAATAATTTGTTTAAAATTAACAAACACCTAATTTAGGTCGGGAAATAATTTAGTCAATAATTTTTATTCAAAATACATTTTATATATATGATTCAGCGTCGTTTTAGAACAAAATTTACGTAATTTCTGTTCTAAGTTATTTGATTGCATTGTTAAATAGCTTTAATATAGTTTATGAATTTTGGAAGCATATATCCATTTTAGATTGTCACAAAATCTAAACATTATTAAAAATCTAACGAACATGTTGCCATTTCTATTCTGAAATATGCTCAACTATCTGCTCGTCAAGATCCGACTTCTTTTAATGTCTTAACCGAGACTACAGCTAGGGAGGCATGGACTTTCTTACGGCAGGCTGAGGAAAGTTTCTATAGGCAAAGATCAAGGATTAAGTGGCTTGCGGATGGAGACTTCCATACAGCTTGTCACAAAACTGAGGAATGCTTTTAATGCGGTTAAGTACATAATTAGGCATGATGGTTCAAGAGCTGATACTTCAAGGGACATTCATGAGTATGTTGTGGACTTTTTTAGGGATATGTTGGTAACGGTTCGTGGTCAGTTCTGCCCAGAGCTTCCTGACTTTCTTATAGACATACAACTACAACATTGTAATGAGGCCCACAAGGTAATTCTAGCTGCTCCGGTGACTAAAAAAATCGTTAAAAGTTCGTTGGATCATATGCTATCGAGTAAAGCGCATGGGCCTGATGGTATGACCGCTGAATTCATCAAAGCTAGCTGGAGTGTCTTAGGGGATGAGCTATCGGATTCTCTCATGATTTTTTTCAAATTCTCCCTTCATGCCTACGGCC